TTAATAGAAGGCCACCCTGAAAAGTCCGATGTGAATTTCCATAATAGAAGGCCATGGCCTTTTATTCTGGGGGGGGAGTTTATGAATTAATGTAAGATTTCTGAGACCACAATTTTTTGTACGATCTTATCTTCTTGTGTCAGATTTTACATCTGATTTTTTGACTTGGGAATCATTTACAATGAAATCATACTCATATGAAGACGTTAAAACAAGTAATATTTATTCCGAATAGTAGACATAGAACAAATCAAATTAAGTATTATACCGATTACATTTATTCTGATTGTCTTTCACGGACATATATTCTAAAACATGAAAATGAGGACTTTGAGATGCAAAAAAACTCAGCTTTCCAGGCAATCATTAGGAAACTAAAATGTAAAATACAATTTAGTCATTTATACAGTTAACGAAAAATACAGGCATCTCTATCATAGTCTGTCACGAAGAAAAAGTAGCTAATTCATCGACAAAAACACTGATAGACATGTCGACATGTTATTAAAAGTATTTATCATAGGCAAGCCGGAATTTACTTTCCTAACTATAAATACTTGGCCATTCATTTTAAGCATCATGCTTCAAAAGAATAATGGTAGGAGTTGCATGCATATTAAACGATTTTATGTATCATGTGGATGCTAAGAAATCTGTTAAGTTGATTGAAAAATTGAACAACTGTTAAGTAAGCAAGCGATTTTTATTTATCCATCTATGTATGACTTATTCGAATTCTTGATGCTATAAAGTAAACATCTTAGAACAAGTTATGTTTATCATTAATAAGATCTTGAATTAACGAAAAAGAGCATTTTTCAAAAAAAAATTTAAACTAGATTCAATGTACCTGATACTTAAGTCATTCTATTTCCCATCAATGCAGACTCTAACATATTCTCTTTTCGGTTGTCCCAACTTTCGAGTGAAGTTCACATCGCAATTATAATAGGATATCAAGTCATACAATGAGGTTAATCAATTTCCACTGAAAAAAGTCTTAAAGGAAGTGTTACTGTCAGTGTCATATCCACAAGTATTTATATTAGTCAAAGAAAAGAATTTTGTCAATCGTTTGACAGGTGAGGATCGAAGTTTTAGAGCAGTATCGAGTTATCAGTTATGAAAAAAACATGCATAGACCACTTTTCTTATCCACACAATTCTGATGCCACTGAAACTATGAGGACATACATACTGATCTAGCGTTCTGAATGATGAGACAGTTCCATACGCTTTAATAACAGGTTGCCTGTACCATATGATTCTTAAAATGAAAGTTTGGAAAAGCATTCTGAAATTTTTTTTCTACTATCGGAATTTTAAAAGAAAGCAGGTAGAAGAAAAGCTTATTACTTTCGAATGGGAAGTCGTAGCAACCTGCGGTTTTCACCATTCAGTAGAGGACAGTCAGGGACACATGCTGATATGTAGGGGATGTTTTCCCAAAGCACTTTTCCAGGCTAACATTAGTAGTAGGCGAAATTAGGGGAAAATTAGCGACTTTTCCATAAGAAATTTTTTTCACTAGTTTTGTAGCCCGAAACGTCCGCTTCAAAATGGTATCTAAGCAACTTCGAGATTTTGCTTCCTCGAGACGCTAGAGGTTTTTTAAGAGGACGTTTCGGGCTACAAAACTAGTGAAATAAATTTCTTATGGAAAAGTCGCTAATTTTTCCTTAATTTCGCCTACTAAAATTGGCCTAGAAAAATACTTTGGGAAAACATCCCTCACACATCGAGATGTGCTACAGACTGTCCTCTACTGAATGGTGAAAACAGCAGGTTGCTATGACTTCCAGTTCGAAAGTTATAAGCTTTTCTTCCACCTGCTTTCTTTTAAAATTCCGATAGTAGTAATGGAATCCATCTTCTTTCAATGATTTTTCTACCGTATAGGACATGAATGCTTCACTACGGAATTTATTGCTAGGTTGCAGTTTTGTATATTGCTTTAGATCATACCAACATTATCACACTATTAACAGTTTTCAACACTGTTCAATTTTTTGCTAGTAAAACAATCAATTGGGCAAACGTATTACTAAATCAATTCTTGCCATTTGTCACGCAAGATAAGAAAATAAAATACATACTTTCAAAAAGCACTTATTTTGTTTACGTACAAAGAAATGTGCTCACCTTTGGTCTATAAATCGTTACCCTGTATCTTCGTGCTATTCACTATATGCGAAGCGGTGTTAGGTATCGGACGTATAGTCATATTTTTTGCACCAACAACATCGTACAATTCGTCCATTAATGCTACAATGTCATCCCCGTTCCTTCCAAGTAACCAAGTAAAGGCGGCATTCGCCATGGACTGGATTGCATCTATTGTTCCTACTCTTGTATTTTTGTATATGGCAGTGTTATTCATTCTTTTCTTTTTCGTTTGGTGTCTCCTAGTTGCACACGCGATTTGTAGGTTCAAGGCGATGAATAAGATTATTAGTTGTCTTTTGTCATTCAATGCAGTTAACGTTAGATTAATAACACTAACATGCAATTGTCCATGTTACAAGCCACGACCTCAACTACGTTTTCAAGTTCGTCTAGGTGTCGTATGCTTATTTATCGTATTGCGTATAATTGCTGTTGTTTTGTATGCAACAGACAAGAACTTCGATAGCAGGAGTGGAAATATGGTGGCGCTAAGTGTCATTTCAGCTGTATCTTTGCTGTTGACGATAGGGATCGACTATTATCAGTACAGAATGTGGTGGTATTATCGACCAGACGGAGCTTATGAAAAATGTCGTTGTTGCTGCTGTCAACAAGAGTTTCATCCTAGCCATAAACGTTTTCTGCCTTTTCCTCTCGCAGGACAAAATCGAAATCCAAACGAAGTTGGGAATCGACTGTGCTTGTATGATGGAGGAGGAAATTGTCCGATGCTTTCTCTTGAACATATTGTTATTTTTCATGCCTATGATTCCATGCCTCAAGCTCGATATGAACAAGGAATCCAACATACATACTTTGGCTTTCATAGAACGAGCCCAGCGTCTGCTGTAGGTATCGCACAAGAAGGTTTTCGAATCAGTACTACTGGTCGTCAAATGTTGGGCTATGGTGTTTACTTCGCTCGTTCATTCAAAGGTACAGAGCGAAAAGCTCGCTATTCCGGTAAGCAGATAAATATTTCTCTATTTTTTGGCAAAACATTCAATTTATTATAAAGGGGCATTGATATGCGCTGAAATTCAAATGGGAAATGTGTTACCTGTCACTTATGATACACTCGACAGTGTTAGCAACTCGAACTCATGGCATCAAAATTTTGACACTGTATATTATTATCATCAGGAAGAGGATCGAGATGAATTTTGTGTAAAAGATCCAGAACAAATTTTAAAATGGATTATTATTATGGATGATGATAGATTACGACGCTATGGCCTTCATACGGCATTTGAAAATACTTTTTGTGGATGCATATAAATATTTATAACTCAATTGTTTAATGCACAGCAATCGCTCCAACAGCGTAAAAAAAGGTTCACTTTACTATAATAATGTATAGCCTCAATTACAATGAGTATAAAGAATTGTTTTTTTTCTTAATTTTGAAATAAATTTGATATTTTCAAAATAAATTACATTTTATTCAGCTAGAAATGGTTCATGTGGTGAAGATGAATCGTAAAAAAAACATTCTTGTAAAAGTTTTCGCTAGATTTAGAGACTTTAATGATTTTTCGACATTTGGTGAAAAAACTGAAGCTAATCATAAACCTATTAAGATTCTGGATAGAAGAGATAATAATTCAAAATAAACTTACATGATTGGATGTCACTCATAAAACATGATATCAGCTGTCTGATTTTATTTTAAACTCGAGTCAAACGTGATTAGCAGAAATAGCGTCCTTTTCTTCATGTTTTCACGTGAGAGTAGCACCCAAAGTAGGATGTGGGTGTGGGGTTCGGGGGTGGATGTGGGGTTCGGGTGTGGATGTGGGTGTGGGTGGGGTTCGGGTGTGGT